GTTGAAATTGCCTCAAGTGATTATCTGTTAGATTCGATTTTAGTTCCACAAACAGACCGAGAGCGAGAGAATCTTCCCAAAAAGAATCTCCCCACAGAGAATCTTCTTATGAAATGTCGCTGCTGTTGTATTCCTTAAACAATATGATTAATTGATTCTATTTAAGCTAAAAACACTCTGATTTGTCCGAGAAGAATGCAGCGCAGCTCTCAATCTTCAGTTCTCCATCACCAGCGCAGCCCCCCCCCGCCTTCTATCGCTGGCGACGACAACTTTTTGGGGGCGTTACCCCAGAGCTACCTGAGCGGATGATGATTTATCTGTGTGCCTTGTGCTGCTGCTGCTGCTGCATGATCATAATTTATGAACAAAAGGAAACATTTCAAGGCAATCCTTGGGCTCTCGATGTGTGGATCTCATCACGTATAGAATTCTTGATATTCTTTTGGGTAGCAATAAGCTGAAAATGCGTTTCCATTTCACGATTACACATTTATTGTGACTAATTGCGTTTGATTGTCAATTGGTTTGCATGTTGCAGACAAATAAATTAATGGCCTGCGCCAGGGCACGGGACCCGCATTTGCGCATATGGAAAGGAAAACCCTCCTAATAGTTTTGGAAAATGCAAGCCAGCCAGACAGCCAGCCATCCAGCCAACAGTTTGGGTGGCGTGAAAAGTTAACCCCCGAAAATTGGCCAGCAAAAAGAGGGCGATTCGGTTGGGTTGGATTGGATTGGGTTGGATGGGGTTGGGAGAGCGGGTTAAGCGGCGCAACCAATTGTCATGTGGGGGGGACCCTAAGCGGTAGCGGTGCCTGTGGGTACCATCATAAGTATTTATAAGTCGATTGCTATTAATTCGTTACTTAATTGCTGCTCTTATCGCCACGGCGGCCTCCGCAGCTGGGCCATGCCTTCGGCTTCGCCTTCGCCTTCCTTGTATTTCATAGTCGGCCCATTGAAAATAATTAAAATTAATTAAGACATTCGACTTTGTTCGTATGTACATATGTATGTACATATCTCTCTCTTGGTTGCATGGCCTAACTGTGTAGCTGTACGACGAGTATCTTCTATAAATTTAAATCGCCTTTAATTGAACGACTTTCGGGTGACGCCTCAGAACCAGTCCCCCTCCCTTCCTCGATACTCGTATGTACGATATACATATATTGTTTTTCCCCATGCGATGTGGCCAAATAACTAAGCTCCCTCGAACCGCGCTTTGGCTGGCTGGCTGACTGACTGGCTGACTGACTGACTGACTGATTTGTCAAAAATTCTCGTCAGCGGCAAATATCAAAAATATGAAACACGTGCATTGATTGATTGTCAGAGTTTATTGTGTGGGCACCCAGGGCTGATGGGGATTAAAATCAAAGACTCTCTGGAACACAGCACAGCACACACTCCTCGATGAGTGCGCCCCTGCGTGAGTGTGTTCTGGCGATGGCCGCGTGAGGCGCAGCACAGGCGTGTGCAGACAAAAGGATGAATGGATGAATCTCTTTAATGGCTCACAATAAGTTGTTCATTTTACCATAATTCAATAAAGTTAGGGGGCTTAAACAGAGCAATCAAAGTGCTGATGGGATTACACTCACGAGGCATTTAAGTGAACGAAAGTATGGGTAAAATTTCGATTCCATAAGTTCCACAAGCGTGACTCACGCTGTCATCTCTAGGGCAGCGATGTCAAGGATGGCAATAGATGAAAGACGTGCCCCATACGGTGGTGACTCAACCTGAACCGGCTGTGCCTGTAGCTGTGGCTGATGCCTGGCTTGAAGGAAACACTGACTGGGCTGACTGACTGACTGACTGACTGATGGACAGATGGACATGCATTGTTTGTGGCGGCCACTTTTTCCACACTTGCATTAATTTTCCTTTAGGGGAAACTCTCTGGGAAAAACTATACTATGCGCGTTTTGAGTGATGGAACGAATTTGCATACGACATCGACATCTCTGATGCCCGGGGCCGGGAGGGGAAACAGAAAACAAAATCTCATACGTTTTGCCTTTCATCATGGGGCACTTTAAGGGACATACCATATGCCCCCTCCCCACCCACTCTCAGATATCAAGTGTCAATAAATAAACTAATTGTTTATTTCATTTGAAGCTTTTTAAATATTTATAAGCATTGAACCGATAAATAATCCAACTTATTTTCAACACCAAATGCGTTTCGACTGTTTTTGGACTCACAAAGTGAGGGCAAAGATGGGCAAGTGGGTGAGAGGGATGTACACGGGAATGGGGAATGGGGAATGGAGAGAGACCTTTCAATTTGAATTCCAAATCGAAATTTTTATGGCACTTGGAAATTAAGTAGTGAACCGCACTGAGCAGACACATTGAAACAGATCCAATCCCATTCCAGATGGTAAAAATTAGAGATTGTATACATATGTATATGGGGGGCGGGGAGCAGGGAAGTGTGCACACATATCTATTGGAACATTAAAAATAAATTCATATAATTTCCATTTCAATGGACAGCCAAGTGTAGGGAAGGGCGTTGAAGGAGCTGCCAGGGGGGAGGAGGCTCGTGTGGGTATGGGAAGCCCTGTCAGGATTTAAGCGATTTGAATGTCAAGTTCCATCGATGGCACTATAAATGGCTGAAGGTTTGAAGCCCAACAAGGCTGTCAATTGTTGATGGTAAAATTTGGTTTGGAACATGAGCAGAAATGCATTGATTTCTATCTATATTCATTTGGAATAGATTTCGCCTTATTAACGGCTGAATACCTAACAAAGAAATCATCGATTGCAACCTTAAGCAGATCTCCCAATCATCTGTTACACATCCTATAATACATACATACATATATGTATGTACATATGTAGGCATACGAGAGTATGGAACCCTGTTCTGACATTGCCCAGACATTCATTATATTTGGAATCGTTTTAATTTGGCAATTTCCTCGAGAAACATGCCTGAAATATGTAAGCAAGTAATTTCGAATCGGCAATGCTCATTACAGACACTTTTTGGCCATTTATGATTGTTCCCCAATATACAATAATAATGTATGCCACGATTATCGGCTATGTGTGTGTGTGTGTGAGTGTGTGTGTGTGGGTCGATTAATAAAGCAAATGTGGCCATTTCCCCCCATCTACCCCATCGTGAACTCCGCGTCGCGCCGCGCAGCTCCCTCTCCGTAGCGAATCGAACGGAACCGAACATTTGAGTGGAAACATATCGTCCACATTTTCGCTTTGGTTTTTCAATGGAAAACGAAAAACCAAAGAAAATATCCCAAAGAACAGTTGCAAGAGGCGTGTGCCCTGAATGGGCAGGAGGTGGAGGCGCAGCAGCAGCAACAGCAACAGCGGCAGCGGCAGCAGGATGAATAGAAAGAGGTGGCAGGGAGTGGAGTGGATATACAATATTGGGGGGAATATGATTTGTGTAAAAGTTTCGACGCTCGGCTCGGGCCATGATTAAGCACTTGAAGTGTAATTCGTGTGTCCATGTGTGCGCGAGTGTGCTTAAAAATAGCTGCAATGGAAGCGCACACACGAAACTAAGACCATAACTAAAATCTATATGGATCTGGTGGATCTGTACGATCTGGCGACGGCAGCTGCCTCAGTCTAAGCAACAGCAACAGCAGCACCAGTAGCAGGAGCGTTGCTCCGACGACGACTACGACTACGAATGCTTAAAGTCAATTTTTGAATAATTACGAATCGTTTTTCGCTTTCGTTGTTCTCTAATTATAACAACATCATCATCATAATCATAATCGCAATCATAATTTCATATTTGGCTGACTCTTCGCATTTTGCGGCGTTCTTAATGTGCCAAAAATTTATTTGTATCCCGCACACAGATACTCACTCGCACCAAATCTATCTCACACATGCGATTTTCTATATTTCTCGAAACCAAAAATATTCTTCATTATTTCTTTGGCCTGTCGGTATTTTGCATTTATGGCGATTAATAGGAAAATGAAATTTAGAAAGATTTTGCCAAGTGTGTGCGTGAAAAACTGTTGACAGAAGAGAGGGAAAGAGAGAAAAAGGTTGAAGGATTTTTTTAAGGGTGATATAAGAGATCTTCCTAGGTATTCCAGGCCAAAGATCATCTGATGGTATTAGAACTGTGTCAAACTGTGCAAACTGAACTCGATGATAATTATATGGGTAATAAATTTTCATTTTCGTAATACTTAGAGGGGTTTTACTGATCTATTCCTATTCTGCTACTTTCAGAACTTAACTTATGTTTTTCTGCGACAAACTGCGCTAAAGGTAATGGTAATGGATTCCTTTAAAATCCCCTCGATAATGGATTCTTCCGAATATCAAAAATAAGTTAAACTTTGGGTTCCCTGCTTGCTTCTAGCATCTCCAGGGAGCAGCACTGTAGGATTCCGATGAGGTTAGGGCACATCCGTTCGGCGATAACGCAGATCGTTCAAATACTTAATATTTTGCAATTGTTTTGGTTTTGGTTCTGGAGACGGGAAGTACATACGACCGACGTCATTCGAAGTTTGTTCGGTTAAATGTACTACTGGATGGTTATGGATTCTGTGGGGTGGGCATAAGTTGACGCCGGAAATTATAGAAATTAGCGATGCCAGTGATATTGAGCACAAATTAATATGCAGGCAAAGAGATAAAAGATGAATTTATATGTACAAGACGTCGTCGTATCGCTACGCTGCAGTGCGCTTCTAGTGCGTGCCATATAGAAAAGTATGCGGCGAATCTTTATCTGTATCTAAATCACCAGAATGACAGAGATACAATACAAAGATATATGTGTAACTCTAGATATAAGCGGGGCACTTGCTGTGCGACTAATGACTAAGACTAAGGAGCGCCAGACACACATACACTCACACAAAAAACTTGGCTAATAAAATAGAAATTGGCCCGCTCTGGCTGATTCATATTCGGTTTTATATGGGAATATTCATTCCTTAGTCTCTATATCAGGCGGCAAATTAAGTATAAAGTAATTACCATTTTGCTGGTGTATGTGGGATATATCCTTGGACCGGTACTCTCTTCTTTTATCCTGAGTGAAGTTATATCTGATTTCTCTGGTTTGTTTTTAATCCCAAGAAAGTGTAAGCTTGTGTGTGTGTTTTTTTTTTGTGATTTATTGTAATTTCAAGTTATTTATTAATGTGGCACATATTCAAATTGTTGCAACTAGAATTTGCTTTAGCGTTTTCTTTTTGTTTATTTATTGTATAAGCACTCAAAAATTGTTTATCTGTCGCTTGCCCGATAACTCTCTCTATATATATCATCTGATGGATGGATATATTAGGGATATGTTTTGCGATTTAGGAAGAACAAAATACCGGATCGGAGAACGAACGTTGGCGGTGACACCGAGACACACGGAGACACTGGGAACTTATGCCGCTTGCCGCGTTCGCACTGCTGCACGTTTAGTCAATGACTAAGGGCGGGCAATTCAAAATTTTTTTAAATTCATCAGCGCTGCCAGCGTCAGCGTCGACAGCAGCAAACACACAACAAAAACCCAAAACTAATAAAATCAATTACAAACACACGCACACACAGAAAGCCAACGGGCACCGAATGCCGATGAGAGCGCACACACATAGAGAGACACAGAACGAACGAAGCCGATGAGAGCGCTCGGCAGCACACACAGCGCTCGTTCGGCTCGTTTAATGCACAGCCGAAGTTTGGCTATGAGTTCGGCTATGAATTATGAGGCTGAGGCTGCTGCTGCTGCTGCTTCTGCTCTTCGGCTGTGCTTCTCTTTCGTTCGCTCTCCTTCTCTATCGCTGTGAGTGTGTGTGTGGTACCGCTTTGAATGTGGGCCAAAAGTAATGACAATAGCCGCAATTGTAATATAACGTATTTTGCGCTCCATTCCATGGCTTTGGGCTGGTTGCCAGCTCGATTCTCCTGCTTGGTTCTCTCATTCATTCGTTCTCTCTCTCTTCCAGTAGTCGCTGTGTGGGTGTATGGGTTACTGGTGTGCGTGTGCTGCCAAATGAGCCAAGCAAAACAAAAAGGCAAAAATATGCCTCTCATTCATCGCTGTTTTCTCTCCCCCACACAAACACACACACACGAATGCACTGCTTCCTTTAGCCGCCATATCCGCTCCCCACTGCACTTCCACTACAAAATATTAAACTCTCCTTCTCCCTGGATGCAAGCAAACTATTTAACAAATTTGTGTTTACTTTTGATTTTCGATTTATGGGGGAGAAATTACAACTGCAGCAGCAGCTGCAGCTTCATGGCAGCTTGTGAGTTCTCATGATCCGGCAGCACCCCTTACCATCTTAATTGCATATCTTATATAATCAGGACCCTTCAACAAATCGTCCTTGTATCCCTATTGCTCATATTTCAAAAAACATTAAGCAGCAAACGAACCAACGAACGAACGAATGCAGGAAACCCTCATGTCAACGACCGTTATTACAGTTACTTATTATTCGCCGGGCAACCCATCCAATCCAACCCAACGTAACAATCCATACAGCCCATACCATACCCATACCCCCTAACCCATCCATAATTACACACAAAAGTTCCATATCGCATGGAACATAAGCCGCAGCAGCGGCGCATAAATCGCAATTAATCAAGTGCAAGCCAATGCCTCTAAAACTCTCCAACTCTCTCATTCTCTCTCTCGCTCTTTCTCCTTCTCCATCTGCCATTCCAGGTCCTTCATCTAGTAGCTCTAACCCTGAGAATTTGGAAATTGTTGAAACGACGCATTTGCCAGCCAGAACAGAAGAGCAACCCTCCCAAGCCCAAGCCCAATCCCAAGCCAAAGCCTAAGCACAAACCCAAACCCAATTTCAATTGCTATCCAAAAACCCAACAACAAGTTCAAAAACTCTACGATTTTCAGAACAACAATAACAAGGCATTTTCCAACTCGCTCTCTATCTCTCTCTCTCTCTCCACCAATTGTCCACTTGCCGTCCTGCTCGCTCCTTTGAAAAGCTACTACTAAAAATGTAATCATTATGCTTTATCGTAATAATCAGCAGCGACAGCGACAGAGGCAGCGACAGCGACACAAACTGAAGCAGAGGCAGTGGCAGCGACATCGCAGCAGTCACAATCGCAGTTAGGAGCAAAGTTTTTATTCCCGTTATGAATAGGGTGTGAAAGGGTACATATGACGGCGTTGAAGCGGGGTCGGCTTATGCAGGAATACTACAAGTCAGTCATTATGCGCATATCTATTGTAATTATGGAATGGAATAGAATTCATATTTTTTTGTTTTTTTTTTATTTGAATAGAAGAAAAACATATAATAGGGCACTTTCAATGAATTGGCTGGGAAGGGCAGGGTGTGCTCTGTCAATCCTCAACCATCTCGTGTGTGCTTATGTGCTTATATCCCCGAGAATACAGATCTGAAGGAAATGTAGGAAGCCCAGTAAAGCTTTTACTCATTATGAATCTGTATGCTGGGTATCAAAATGCTTATTCAATTCCCACTTGTTTCCCAGGACACACACACACACACACAACTACAGCCACAGCTGGTACAACAATGGACAAACGTACAGTAGTAATACTAGCCAGAGAAAGAGAGAAAAGCAAAGAGGACTCGGAGTATGAGAAATGGAGAGAGACTAGCAAACAAACAAAACTAAATTACAACAATTCCAAAAATTTATAATTGCGCTCATGCGAACGCACACACACACACAAAACCCCATGGAGGAACAGAAAAGCACAAGTTAGAGCATCTCAAACCACCACCAATGCCACCCCCTGCCCCACCCAAGTCACTTTAGCCACCCCTTCCTCTTTCTCACAGTCAAAATCGCAGTCCCTGCCACTGGCACTGCCACTGCCAATGGCACCGCCGCCACCCAACCATAATCATCATCATAGTCATCATCATCGGGGTTTGCCTTCTCGCCTTACAATTCGCTATGCAGGCGCGCAGGGGGGGACGCAGGAGGACGAACTAACAAAAAACCCGAAAGGAGCAGAAGAAGCACAAACAACAACACACAAAAAAAAAAAAACGCCGGCAGTTAAGTTAAAATGTACTTAGAGTTTAAGCGTAACCCCGAAATCCCAATCCCAGCCGAACCCGAAACGAGATTGTGTGTTTTAAGCGTTTTAGTTACCACCACCACCCCCCAGCCCACCCCTAGTCTCAGCCCAACCCCATCCAACCCATCCCTCACTCGCTTTCGCTCTCACTCCACTCCACTCCTCTCTCTCACAATTCCACTGTGCTCGGCTCTCAGTCGACGTCGACTTCGTCAGCCATCTTGTGCGGCGTTATTAAATTTTATACAAATACTAAAAATGAAATCAAAATTTTCTTATTACAATGACTATTTTGAGACCATCCCATACCACCCCACCGCAGCCCAGCCATACCGTTTCCTTTGGCCCGCTGTACCATCTGCTGTCCTTTTCTTTTCTATTATTCTTATTCTACGTTTGCTTCTTCCTCTTCGTCTGCTTCTTGTTCTGCCTTAACAGCTGTGCTTTGGGCTGGGCTTGGTAGTTGCTTCGGTCTCGCTCTTCGAGTCTCATCGAATGGGGTGGCAGGGGAGGGCACATTTCATTATACATACCCTCTTTAAAGGAGAGTATGGAAGATCTAGGAAGAAGTACTACAACAGATTCCAAAGATCACAATCTTTCCATGAGCAGAGTTATTATTCCAACATTAACCCCATAGTAAATTGTGGAACTTGTGACTTTTTTTCGATATCTATAACACCATTAATAGACTATCAACATAGTCGGCTTGTTTTTAGATTCTGAATCATTTCGTTTTTGGTTTCTCCTTTCTCGTATAAATATGTATGTATATGTATGATGTATGTATATTTGTTTGTGTGTCTTTTTGTGGAATGAAATGGTACTTATGCCACTACTTATCGACTGCATTCATTGTTACGAGGAGGAAAACGTAAAAGTTTTTAGTTTTTGACTGTTGACCCCCACCCCACACCCAAGACCTCAACCCTTTTAGTCTCACACCCGCACTGGAAAACTTTCTCTGGATGGAAGTCATGCAAAACGTCCGAAGATAAATTCATAAAATTCAATTATAAATTTCAGTTACAAATAACAAGAAGTAAAGGAACAAAAATTTAACCAGTGAATGGTAAAAATGTTTTACGACTTCCTGTTGCAACTAAATCCATGAATCTACCTACCAACAACCAAAAAAAAATGAACACGAATTTACCTGAAGATACTTAAAATTTAAATTAAACATTGGGAAAAAGGTTTTGCCTAAACAAATCTTCGTCTGATAAGCAGCGCAGAGCCGAAAAGAAAGAAATTCCAAAGATAGGATATACGACAACCCAAAGGACAAGTGATGAATAATACCAATCACGTACGACGGACAGCGACAGCTACAGCTACACGGAATGGTTAGGGTGTGGAAGGGCAGGGCAGTGCAGTGAACGGGCAGGGGAGCGGAGCGGAGCCCACCTTCGTGGCCTAATCAAAAGAGCATTGTAAACTAAGCCAAGACAAGACAAGTCGAGAGACAAGCGAGGAATTCCAATGCTGAAAGGATCGTCAAATGCCGAGCCAAAGATCAGGCAAAGGTCTGGGCGAGAACGAGAACAAAAATGCGTAATCTCACAACAAAAACAACAAAAATATATTCTGTGCTGCACACTGAAACAACAAATTAAGTGCCAACAGAGAGAGAGAGGGAGAAGGAAAAGAACTACACCTACACCGCACCTTTATGGTTATAGCCAAGGTATATCTATACAAGGTGTGCGCACAGCAAGAGAGCGCTCTTACGTTGGGAAGCTGGGGAGACAGAGATCACTGGGTGAGCCTCACCTTCGAGTCATGCCGCACCTCTTGTGAGTGTACCTTGGGACATATCTACATAAATCTACGAAATGAAAACATTTTTCATGCGCTTCAAAAGACTGTCAGAGACAGAGAGAGAGAGAGAGAAAGAGACAGAGAGAGAGGGATAGTGATCCATTGGGAGACAATTAGTTGAGCCGAGAGACAGACAGGCTTCCATCTTCCAGCAATCTGCTCCTCACGCTTCGCTATGGGTATGGCTATGCGCTTTGGGTATACTACACACTCGCACGTCAAAAGGTCAAGCCGACTCTCTTTGATATTGGAAGCATTGATCTATTGTCTGTGTTCGGTTATCCCGCTCGCACTCGTAACTGCATTTTATACGGTTCTCGTTCTTAGTGCGATTCCTTTTATTTCGTTGTTCTCCCTCCTCCTATCCTATGATTCTTTCTTTCGTTCTTTCGGTTTTAGTGAGTTGCTTCGTCAAAATGATTGATTTGTAGGTGATGAATTACAACAACTATACGCTAAGGTCGGGTTAGTTAGGAGCCCACCACCACCACCGAAATGCACCGAAATGCAGACAGACAGACAAATAGATGGGATGGATAGTCGGG